AGTTATTAATGAAAGTATTTATATTTATTTATGAGGGATTTTTATGAATCATTTCTTTCATGCTATGTTTTACTGAGAGGTTATTATGCATAAGAAGGCTATTGATTATTTCCACTAAATATCTTCTAGAGAAGTATGAGTCTTCTTATCTAAACTAAGAACTCACGAAGTCAATATGCATACTGTGCCGAGTCGATACTGTCTGCTGATGTGAAAAAGGATTCTCAAATGGGGAGTAATGCCGTTGGCATATGTATGAGGTAAAGTGCGAAGTTCTGGTAGTAACTCAAAGATAGATTTTACTCTAAGAAGGACATCATATTAAAGAGGATATTCATAATGTTCTATTATGATACAAGACATAAACACTGTATAGATATACATTTGATTTAGAGAGGGAATACCATAAGTATTAATGAACAGCATTACGGACCTTCATGTCTGTACTTAGTAATCGTAATATGTAATAATACAATCTTAAGTTATTGTATGTGCTAGTACCACTGTTGTTATAATTATATTGGAATCTCATTTTATGTTTTGTATTATCAGTATTAAAATATTAATAACCTTTCTGAGACATAATTGAGGATTAATCAGAGAATTATGCCTTAAAAAGGAAAAAATAAAGAATTGGCACAATTAAGTTTAGAGAAGAATATATACTGTGAATGGGGAACCATTTCACATGATTTAGGAATTCCCTTTTAGCTTAGCTATAGGGAGTCTATTTAGATATGCTCTATATCAATTTAAAAAGAACGCGGAACAGGATACTCTGGGAGCATGTAGTTGCTGTTGCTGAGTCTTGCTATAAAGATGTCCTTTCCAAAATAGATGCAGAGTGATTGCAAAGGAATAGTCACACATATCTAGTCCAGTTGTATGAAGTTATACATTACATTCTGGTTCACCGAATGCATTGTAATTAGAATTAGTTAGAATATGGTGTTGTTTCTTGAAAATTGCAAGATGAGATGTGTCTAATATGAAAAAGTAGAACGATTTTCATAAGTGTCCTCACATAAGGCATCCCTATCCGTAGTGTTAACTGTCATTCGCCCCAAATTGAGAAAAACATGGAAGAATAGGTGATAAGGGCAGGATTCTAATCACTTCTTAAAGGGATGCTTACATGTAAATTTGGGTAGAAGTTAATGAAATTCATAACGAGCCTTCTAATGGGAAAAGGATATTTATAAGAAGAAATAGTAATTTTCAATTACTTGATAACTATGTATGATAGAAAGATATAAATGAGAAAGAAACTGACTTCATAACTATGTTGCCAATACATAAGCTATCTGCATCTCCTATTTAAGAGCTCTAGCGGTATAAGAGGTACATGTAGTTGAAGTAACTATTAACAAGGACTATTAAGCCTTATGATGCTTTTGTTTCTTTTCTTAAATTATAAGAGGTTGAGAGTGTGTACATATGAAGAAAACGTGTAGCACCTTGTATATGGAATAGTGAGCGTGTAATAAGCCAGATTTTCCTGAGAAAATCGTACCAATACTATAGATAATGAAAAGTATATGGAACAATAGAAGGAAAGAACTGTTTATGGTATTGTCGACATAGCCTCCATTGTGTAATGTATTTACAGAGGCTAACATAACGGTACTGTGTGACCAAAGAAAAGTAATCTAAGGTCTGTTCAGACAATATAACAATTGACTTTTCAAACGTACTGCATTGTATATGCAGTAGGATGATCTGTGACTGAAATAACCTTCGGAAGCTCTATTATTATTTCTTATGAGTTATTTGAAACGAAATTATTCATGAATTTGCCCCGTGATGAGGTAACTTCCTCATATATGTCTCCCTGAAATTTCTATATTTGCAGTTGCATTTCATTAATGAAATCTGTGCATCATGAAATCATGGTCAAATTTCAGGTAGGCGCTGATTCTTTTTAATCATTTTTGTCTTCATTAAGATTTCATTCGAAATTGTTCTTGTTCTATGAACCATAGAAAGGGAAATAAATACTATGACTTCGGTTCCGTGTGCTGCGAACCTATATTTTGCAGAATTCTGCGGTAACATGGAATCCTTTTCATTTCATGTATCGAAATCATGGTAATATTTGAATAAAGGCAAGTAAGCACCGAACTGGTCATTGATTGCTAAGGAATCACTGAGTCTCCGCAGTTCCTCTTCAGTTTATTCGTTAATTCGTTTCGTATATGTCGTATAATATGTGCCCAGGGCATTAATTACCTTCCGGTGTAGAATGACATATTTGTGTGTATAGTATTTCCAACGATTGGGCCCTTTGACTAATGTCCTGATAGCTGTAAAAGACATGTTATTTATATTCAGGTTAGAGTTGCATACATTTGCGGGGATATATGAATAAAGTTAAAAGTGCATAACTAATTTTATGAGTGAATGTATTATTCATATGCGTGGATATTGGTTATGTTGCAGAATGGACATACGGGGTATAATACACAGGGGAAGTTGTTAATAATACTCCTTATGGCTAGGTCCCTAGTCGTACTGTCCAATATACGGAGACTGGATAGCTTTGCGATTTGCATCGAGTATAATCTAGATTTTGCTGTTGTGGGATACGCGATTGTGGCGCTTGATCTTTCCAGACTATTAAAATAAGAATTAGGTGTACCATAGAGAATCCGGTTCTCTAGCCGTATGTAATATGAATTCTCTGTTATCTTTATATTTTGTGAAATGTAATTTGTACTGCTTCCTTCCTTTGGTGGAGAGGGTTATTTGGTAATTGTGAACATCCACGTACGAAGTAGAAATTAGTAAAGTGGACAATGTATAAAGCAAAGTTCGTTACGATAAGTGGTGATTCGTCTGGTAATCGTACAAAATGAATAAATATTTGC